CCTATATTTCTGGGATTTTGTGTCAGGTGCTGCCAGGCTTTGCTTCAGGACTTCGGGGGCAAGAAAGGAGACCACCCATTGTTTTTTGTTTTTAGCAAAGGGATCATCGGGAAATCAGTTGGAACTTAGTCATCCTTTCAGTAGCAATAACCCCTACTGCAGGATTCATAAGTCTGACTTTGACTAATCTAGCCTTCAAGAAATACTTCATCTGGCTTGTTATATAGATATTGCTCAGGGTCTGCTAGGCAGTTTCCAAGCGCAGTTGAAGACCTGGTGCTTGGCCCTGCAGTGTGTGAACTATGAGAAGATAAAGACAAAGGGTGGTGGATAGGGATAGTTGCCATTAAGAATGAGTACCCTAAGTGTTTGAATTTTGTGCAATAGCACTCATTTAGCTGATGACCTGATTGATGATGCTGATGTCCAGATATAAGGACCCAGTCATTCAGGGCAATTAAAAAAACAAACACCATATAAATTAACGAAGTCTCAAAATTAATGCTTAATGAGTGTAGTGTTAATCGCAAGTGACATGCCATTTGGATCAAGAAGGGATGTGTGTGTGGGGTGGGGGGGGGGGGGGGGGGGCGTTTAACCTGGCCAAACAATCAACATTAATTTGAATCATTTTCTAAATTCCAGTAATTGAGTTCTCTGTTCCTCCTTTTTTACAAAACTTTTCAGTGAAAAATCCATAAATAACTATTTGGGCTTATTGAAAGAACCCTTAAGTATTTTCAAATGTCTTACATCTGTCAAACATTGCATTTCTAGGATCAGTTATTTAAATTGTACCCCCAGAAATACATGCACACATCTTCTAAATTAGTAGTACAAATCTACCATATGATGTGCTATTAAAGAAAGGTTGTTTCATTTCATACATATGGTTTTTAGTTACAATATAGCTTCTTAATTTTAGAAAATGCAACACTGCCATCTGGTGTACTCTTGTGACCACAGTAGAAAATAAGTTTTAGCAGGAATGTGAATGTTTTTCTAGTAGCATAAATCTTTCACATTGAAAAGTGGCAAATAGACTAATTAACATAATGCTGTGTAAATATGTGGACTAATGAGCGGTTGAACAGATGAGTAACAGTTGTGAAATCAGAGTAGCATATGAAAAAAGTGGATGGTGGACTATGTCCCATGCATGTTCTGTAAGTCTTCTATTTCAATACTGTTTAAAATATCTTTTGAAAAATAATTTTTTTGTCAAACTGGTTCTTCAGATACTTTAAAAAAGCAATTCTATGTTTAGTCATTTCTACTAACATCCTGTACTATTATTCTTTTACCTGTTTACTTTACTAACATGGCGTTCAGTGACTGATTTTATTATTCTAAATCCGTTAATTATCCAAGCAAAAATTGATAGCCCCTTAGATATTCTTTGTAACAAATTGTTTTATACAAACTAATCTTCTGTGTCACTTTTCTTATAAGATGCTTTTCACCTTGTTCTTGATATAATTAGTAACTTCCTTTGCCTGTTTTTTACAAGCACGCCTTTCATATAATGATTGAGGTAAGCTGTATTGATTTTTTGTTTGTTTGTGGAACTTTGTGGTCATGTAAGACCTTCTATTTCTTGTTGCTTTGATATAAATTAAGTTCTTTGCAATACTTTGTAGCGGTGCTCTCTGTAAGCATGCTGGGTCAAAATATAAACTTATTCTCCTAAAAATTACTAGAATTTCTTGTGCAATACAGTTGAATGTCTGTGGAGATTGATAATGGAATACACCACCTTTCACTTTTTTAGGTTCTAGGTCTGAATTTGGCATTTGAAATTTCAGAGGCTTATATGAAAAAAACAAATCACTTTAAAATGTCTGCACATAAAACTTCATTGACAATTGGCAGTTCCTTATTGGCAGTCTTCAGAGAGCCAAGTTCTAAATTGTTGTGGATACTGAACTTCACTCTCTTATAAGTGGTCTTGCTAATTCATAGTACAAACCCATTGGAAACATGATTTAGAGAAAATGGCACATTGCTTTTCACTGTTTTAAATAGCTTTCCTGCAAATTTTAAATTTTGTAAAAAGTTGGTAGAAATTTCCTTCCACTTACACCACTGTTCAGCTTAAAATGAAAGTCTTCAGGTTCAGAAGAAATTAAAATAGGAAACTTATTATTACTTACCATGCATACATTTTTTCAGCATTTACAGATATTTACTAATCTTTATTGCACCTTTGCCAAGATGCAGGGTTTGTTGTCTAAGCCATCTAAGACAGATGGCTATCCAGCCTCCTCTTGAAAACCTTCAGCGAAGGAGCATCCGCTACCTCCCTAGATGGTCTGTTCCATAGTCCTACTGTTCTTAAAGTTACAAAGTTTTTCCTGAGTTTAATCTAAATCTGCTAGACTGTTATTTGAACCCATTGCCGCTTGTCCTGTCCTCTATGGCAAGAGAGAACTGTTATCCATCTTTTTTTAATGGCAACCTTCAAGTATTTGAAGATTGCAGTCATATTCTACCCCCCCCTCCCCCCACACACACTTAATCTCATCTTTTCCAAACTAAACATAACCAGTTCTTCCAGCCTTTGCTCATATGGCTTGCATTCTATCCCTTTGATCATCTTTGTCATTCTTCTCTGGATCCTTTCCAGTTTGTCTAAGTCTTGTCTATAAATTGATTACCAAAATTGGACACTACTCCAGCTGAGGCCTAACGAGCGCCAAGTAGAGTGGAACTATCAGCTCTGTAACTTGCATGCTGTGCCTCTGTTAATGCAACCTAAAACTGCATTTGCTGCCCCCCCCTTTTTTTTACATCACCTTGCTAACTCACGTTGGGGGTTGTGATCCGTCACATATTCCCTGCTCCTCCTTTCCTCCTTTTTAAAGATGGTACTATGTTAGCCCTTGTCCAGTACCCATTTGTTATCCATGAGTTTGCAAATATTCTTGCCAGTGGCTCTAAGATTTCTTAAGCTAATCAGCACCCTGGGGTGAATAACATCAGGCCCTGCTGTCTTCAATTCATTCAAATTAGTAAGAAGATCCTATGTGTTTTTTACTTACCTTGATCTGCATCTCTTCCCCTTTTATTCTCTATGGTAACTTGATTAGTCATCTGGTCACATCATCATATTTTTTGTAAGAAGGCTGAGGGCTTGTCGATGCTACAAAATTAAGTCAATTTAACTAACTTAATTTAGGTCGACTTACAGCCACGGCAATTATTCAGTTGGCTATTGGTGTCCATGCTACCCTCCTTCTACTGGTGGAGAGTGGCTTCAACAGTATCACTTGCACAGGCTGAAGTGGAGTATTATGGGGCACTGACAGCCATGCGGGGCTGACAGCTGGAGCCCCCCACCGATTCGGGGTGACAGCCCCAGCTGTGAGCCCAGCACGGACTCAATTTCACAGTACTGGAGCCTACCAGCAATGAAATTGAGATTCTTGTCAATTAAATGGCTCAGGACCCCAGGCTGCTGACAGAATTATAGCCAACAGCTGAAGTAAGTAATGCAACACGAGCACTGCGTTGCCCTAACTACACCGCGCTATGCCTCTTGTAGAGGTGGAGTTATGTTGGTGTAGCAGACTACTTACTTCAGCCAAAGCAGCATACTAGTGTAGACACTACAATTATGTCAGTGTAGACTAGTGGTTCTCAACTTTTTTTTTGTGGACCACTTGAAAATTGCTGAGGGTCTTGGCGGAAAAGATCTTTCCAAATGTTGTTTGTACCATTAGTGAACTATTATAAAGCGCTTTGGATAAAAGCATTATATTTAAAAAAAACAAAACAAACAAAAAAAACTTAATAATAATGTTTTTTATTTCTACAAATAAAAGCCCACAACTCCTAAGTTCCCGACCACCTTCATTTTTTGCAAATAATTAATTCCTGTTGGTCAGTACCAGATCCAAAATGGATGACCCTGTACTTGTTTCCTCCACATTCCGATTCAGAGCGTTGTCCCCTATACATGCTAAAAACTTGCAAGACATACTGTGTTTTTCTGTAATAGTCTTCCAACAGATATCAGGGAAGTTAAAATCCCCCATTAATACTAGCTCATATGTGTTAGCTAATCTTGTTACCTGGTTGTAGAATGCCTCATCTACTTCCTCTTCTTGATTTGGTGGTCTATAATAGACCCCCACCATAACATTGTTACTATTCTTTTCCCTTTTTATCCTCACCCAGTGACTCCCAGTAAGTCTGCTGCTCACTTCCTCTTGGACCTCGTCACAAGTGTAAACATTCTTGATGTACAGCACAATGCTTCCTCCTTTTTTCCCATACCCATCCTTCCAGAACAAGCTATATTCTTCAATACTGGTATTCTAACCAGGGGTGTTGTCCCACCAATCCTCTGTCTGTTTGCTTCTCTGGTGTTTGCTGCTCCCTAGGTTCGCAACCATAGTCTGGTGCAGTATTTAACTCAAATTAGCTTTACGACTTATGGGAAAAGTGGAGCTTAAATGTCTGAGCTTTTTGCCTCCTAGTCAGTTCATCAACTTTTGTCTTCTGCTTACTAGGTTAGCCAGTCAGTTAAGCTTTTCAGAAAATTTAGAGCCCTTAAGGCTACAAAGATCTTTTGAAAAGATTATTTAGAAATAATTATGCCTGTGGCACCTAAATGGTTTGCATAAACTAGAACTAGTTGGGACTCTTCCAATGGAACATTTGTCTATTTGGAAAAAGTTGATTTTTTCAAAAAGTGAAACACTTCATGGAAATATAGATTTTGATGAAATTTTGCTTCAGGAAAAATTAAACTGAGTGTTCCATTTTGAACTCTTCAGAAAGGAATGTTTGGATTTTTTTTTGTTCAAAATTATTTATTTTCAAATTTTTTTAATACCCAAATAAAATTCTAAATTGCAATAAAACTTGTCACTTTTGTCAAAACAAAAAATTTCAACCGAAAACTACTATTTTTTTCAGAATTTTGTTGTGTAGGAAACTGAATTTATTTTTTGTTTCAGAATGATTTTTTTTTTTAATTACAGAATTTCTTGGCACAGAAAATTCAGTTTCTGCCCTATAGAAGAATTGTATGTGTTCCACTGTGAAAACAAGAAAACATTTAATTAGAAGTTTAATTAGTTTTTGTTGCGGAAGAAATACTCTGTATACTGTGATTTAATATAAATATCACAAACAGTGTGGAGAATACATTCTCCTATCTGTGTACTTTCTGAATTTTTTAAGTAGTATGTAGCATTTAGTGGTTAGGAAGTGAAGTATTGCAGTGGAATTGTTTTTAATCACGCTTAGTAAATGGGAAGTTTTGAACATTCGCTTGCTATATGGTAAAGAGCGAATTCAGAAAATCTTAAATACTTCTAGATTTGGGAGAGGAACATTGTTCTAATGTCTAAACAAAGAAAGCTAGATCTGTGCGCTATTGATCGCTTGGTTACAGAGCTGCTTTAATTTGGGCAACTCACTAGGGCCAAGACTTCAAAAATGGGTGCCTAAAGTTAAACTTGTAAATCCATATTTAGGCATCCATGGGAACTGCTGAGTGCTCAGAACACTTGAGATAAACCTACTAAATTGGTACGAAGATTTGGATTTACAAATAATTTCAGGCTTTAACCCCTCTGCCTTAATTTCTACATCAGTAAAACTGGGATAACTTCTTCAAAGGTGTTTTGTAAAGGGATTTGAAATTATATGGAAGCCATTATAGGAGTGAAATTATACTTCATTGTGTTAGTGAATTTATCAATGAGACATAATTATTTCATTTTTAATGTCACATAGAAAATAATGTTAATGCCTAATCTTGGTGCTCTGTTTTTGTATTTACCAGGTTTATTTCTCTAATCAGCATTGTTTAAGTATTTTAAACATTTGTTTTAAGCATCCCCCTTTCTTTAAAGGTTCAGATTCTTACATGAAGGGTAACATTTACATGACTTAAGTGCTTTTGAAAATGGGACTTAGGTGTGTGTGAAAATTTTACCCTTAGTCTTTATTAGGGCTGTAGTTGTTCACTTCATTGCTATTGTAAAAATACTTGAAATTCTATCATAATTAAAGCTTGATTTTCATTCTCTTCAGTGCCTCTCTGCCTTCATATCTCAGAAGAATAAATATTAGAAATAGGTTAAGTTTCTATTTGTGTATTAATTCTCGGTGTGTCTGACTGAGTCCTGTTTCCTTCCTGTAAAAAAGGGTTAAAGATGGTTTGTTTTTGGCAGGATTTGACACCAAATGTTGTTTTAAATGTAATTGTCTTTATTTTTCTAATACTGTAGTCGTAGATCTCACACAGACTAGCTAGATTTTAATTATACACTTTTATCTGTTTTCAGGACCCTGGCCCACCACCACCTTCACCCTTGATGGGTCTGAAGCCTCTGCAATTGTTAGAGATAAAAGCTAGGGGAAGATTTGGTTGTGTCTGGAAAGCTCAGTTGCTTAATGAGTATGTTGCTGTCAAAATATTCCCAATCCAGGTATGTCAATGTTCTTGTTGTCCTATTGTAATGTAAAATATCAATATACAAAGCAAACTTTTCTGTATACAATAGGAAGTTGTCACCTCCCCAAATGTCAGTAACTATAAAAAAATTAAGTTCTCAAATACAGGAAATGTTTGCAGCTCAAAAGTGAACAAGGCAGATGATGGCATATCTTTTAATTGAACTAAAAAGTTATAATTAAATGCAAAATATGTGCTCTAATTCAACATTGGGGAAATGGAGTTAAAAGTTAAGAAATTCAAAAGACTGAGGTTCTGGTCCTGCAAACTCAAACATATTAGTAATTTTAAGCACTTTACTAGTCCCATTGCACCTGCTTCCATCCTCCTACTGGTTTTAGTAGTATTTAGCTGTTAGGTACTGAAAAAATGTGAACTTGCTAAGGAGAATTTTTGCTAATACTGTCTAAATTAAGTGGTCGTCATAATGAATGGCAATTGTTAGAGTAAATTGGTATCCTGAAAGAGATCCCAATAAAGTGGCTGTTCCAATTAGGCATGTCTCCATTAAGTGAAGTATACTGCAGTACTGGAAATGTTGAGCCATCAGCTGCATTTAGCCCTGCAGCTCTGGGGGGGTCCTGTTAAATTGTTAGAAGTGCAATCTCACTGGAAGGATCTTAAAGCACATTGAATTACGTTAATCGGAGTGTTACAGTACTTAAAAATACACTTTACCAGTTAAGGAGGGGTGAGTTGTACTTACATTTTCTAATAGGTAGATCCATATTGACTTGCTGATAAAACACATCTGTGGAGATCATCTTTCTCTAGTAGGAATTTCTCACCCCCAAATAAAATCCATTACACCTGGAACTTTGCTTAACTCAACTTAATGAAGAAAAGCCTGTTCCCACTTTTAAAAATTATATAATCATCTTATTAAAACTTCTATTGAACATAATTTTTGAGCAATGATCTTCAGCGTCAGGGTGGTTAATATTGCTAGCATTATCAAGAGCCAAGCATTATATCTGGTGGGCAATATGCAAACCCTTCACTCAGCTGACAGTGCCCCAGGCCTGACCTTAAGCTTCTCTGCTATTCCAGTGTGTGGTATCTATGGAGATTCATGCTGGTGCCAACCTGCATAGTAATGTTACAATAGACAAATTTCCATGGGAAACTACCAAATATAGTTTCCTTGTAACTTAAATTAGGTACATAAAGATTTATCCTATAATTTTATTAACTTTTTCTTGTTTTTGCCTGAAATATGTAGTGCAGATTTTAAATTACTTACCTAAATTTCAGACAAATACTTGTAATTTAAAATAATTTATCCAGTCTGTCAATATTAATATTTTGGAATGTGCCTTTCTTTCCATTGATTCAAATTTATACTGGGTCAAAACAGATTTTAATCTGTTATTCTAGAAGGTCAGTTAACTTTTCAGAATGAATTACAGTAGCAAACTTGTGACTTGTAGAAGAGTGGTTTTTTTTTTTTTTAATCAGAATATAGTAAATGTACTAACCTAATATCTGTGCTTGATTAAGGACAAACAGTCATGGCAAAATGAGTATGAAATTTACAGCTTGCCTGGAATGAAGCATGAAAATATCTTACAATTCATTGGTGCAGAGAAACGAGGCACCAGCATTGATGTAGATCTGTGGTTAATTACAGCATTTCATGAAAAGGTATGGTCAGTTTTGACAACAAATAATGTTTTTATCTATTTAGTTTCATTGTAATTTTATTAAAATCCTGTAGCCTATGAACAAGCTTAAAGAAAGGAAGGCTGTATAATTTGGAATTCCAGCCAATTTTTAAAAAGAACTGAAAGTAGTTTCACTTACCCAGCAAGCCCTCCCCCATTTTTGTAGCTTCAGAGATCATTATTTTCCTCTCACTCCCTTCCCCATCCAAAAAGCTAAGCCAAACCAAAACAGGTTTTGTCCTAGTAGAGAAGCTGAAAAAGTCACTGGCATTGATCCTTACCAGAGGAGGAAGATGTTTTCTGAAACAACACAAAAATATAACTTTATCGGTGTTTCACTCTGATTGTGGACCTTCCTAATGAAGTAGGTCTTCAAAAGTTTTTTTAACCAATGCCCATCAATTGAATTGAGTCATATATGAAATTTTTCTCACAAATTTAAATGGTTTTCTGTATGGAAAGCTCCCTACAATAAGAAATATCAGTGTGTGTGTGTATATATAGCAAAATAACAGCATTATTGTTACTACTGCCCCATCTAGCTTTTGTGATGTAACTTACATTTCTTGTAGTAGAATAAAAATATTTTCAAACATTTTTAATATTAGGACTTGTAAAATTAAAGCAGTGGTGTAATAGCATAAACAGCTAAGGGGAAATTTAGTGCTTTGCTATGACCCACGTAAAGTTAGGAAAGTTATTTCCTGTATCAGTCTTGTAAAAATCACATTTTTGATACCGATCTATTAAATTTATTTATGCATGTTATATCATACTAAACCAACAGATAAACATTTCCCTTTCTAAAAGGATATGGTCTAGTTAATTGCTCATGTCTGAATTTTTTTAAACTACTGCTGTTCTCTCTTAACAACCAAGATTACTGTCATTGAAGAACAGGAGAGAAAAAATTATCTTTTTCCCCCCAATTTTTGTACATTTGTCAGCATTTGGTTTGTTAGCAATTCAGTTCTTCTTCGAGTGATTGCTCATGTCAATTCCATTCTAGGTATGCACGCACCCATATATGCGGTCATCAGAGATTTTTGCCATAGCGGTATCCAGAGGGTTGGCTGTGGCACTCTCTCTTGAGTGCCGCGCTCATGCATTGGTATATTAAGTGCCGCCAGCCCTACGCCCTCTCAGTTCCACCTTTCTGCCTGTGGTGGTTAGTCGGAGCGCCTTTTCCTTGCATAGCAAGGACTAGCGGTTTTGTCGTTATTGTCTTCAAGCCGTAGGGCCTTATAAATAGTTTATTTCTAGTACAGTAACTCCTTGCTTAACATTGTAGTTATTTTCCTGGAAAATGCTACTTTAAGCAAAATAATGTTAAGCGAATCCAATTTCCCCATAAGAATTCATGCAAATGGGGGTGGGTGGGTTAGGCTCCAGGGAAACTTTTTTGCCAGACCCTCCCTCCCCCCTCTACATATACCCGATATAGATATAGAATAAGTTTTAAACAATTTAATACTGTACACAGCAATGATGATTGTGAAGCCTGTTTGAGGTGGTGGAGTCAGAGGGCGGGATATTCCGAGGGAATGCCTTACTGCTAAATGATTAACTAGCACTCAGCTGAGCCCTCAAGGTTAACACGTTGTTAATATAGCCTCATGCTCTACAAGGCAGCACAAAATGGAGGGAGGGGAGACAGCATGGCAGAGAGAGACTGAGAGACACACCGTGAGAGAGAGAGAGAGAGACACACATTGTCCCTTTAAGTACGCTGACCCCACTCTGAGTACACTCACTTTTTATGTAGATTAGCAAGTTGAGACAGCAGCTGCTGCCAGCAAGCTACCTCCTTCCTGAGCCTTGTCGTGTCCCGTCCCCCAGCTCTGTGGAGATGGGG